ACAGGTATCTAATAACATTTCATCCAGCCGTGCTTTAAAATGATGCAAGGGAACCAAAATGCTCAGTTTCAATGTGTGTTGCATGGTGTTCCAAGCCAGAGAAGCAGCGCACATAAAAGCTTTAGTACCTAAAACAGTCCTAGCACTTGGCACATGTAATAAAAACACATCCTGGGATCTCAGGCAATAGCTACTTGCCCCTCTCTGTGAGATCAGAGAGCAGATATAAGTCGGTAGTTTACCCAGCATGGCTTTGTAGATGAACATGTACCAGTGACTGAGCCTCCGACCAGTAAGTGAAGGCAGACCTGCCTTGGCATACTGGGTACAGTGATGAGTAAGTGCTTTACAGTTAGTAACACATCTCAGAGCGCTGTGATAGGCGGCATCTAACCTTTCCAGGCAATGGGCAGGTGCATTCATATAGACCAGATCACCATAGTCCAGCACAGGTCAAAAGGTCACAGAGCCTTCTCCTGGCCTCAAAAGAGAAACTGGACTTGTTCCTGTAATAATACAATTATTAAATAATAATACATTTGATTTATATAGCACACTTTAAAAAGTGCTTCACAAAGCTATAAGGAACAATAAGTAAAAAGTTATCTAAAGGAGCATATTGGATAAAATATGGCAATATAAAAATAAAAGGTTAAGAGCATAGAAGGTTTAAAAATAAATAAAGTAAAGGACAGTCAGTAAAATGCGGTGTGGAAAAGGTGGGTCTTGAGGCATTTCCTAAAAACTGAGAGTGATGCTGATCCGTATGTTCTCTGGAAGCTGGTTCCAGACGTGGACCCAGGGAGTCCTGATGAACTCTCCTTTACTTAACCCTTTACATTTCTTACTGAGTTTAAGGAATAGTGATTAGGAAAAGACATAGGACCTGATTGGTTTTACTATTTGACTGCATCAGCTCACATTGAGAAAGTACCATCAGTTCTCTGCCTGTGCCACTAGGTGGTGCTGTTGCTGCTTTATTAGAGGAGGGTGTCATGTGTGTGTGAGACACCAGAAGGCGCTGTGTACAGGGACACAGCAACTGAGACACACATATTGTGACTTGTGGGAACATGGCAATGCCTATTACTATTATTATTATTTGGAGGTTCACCCAAACCATAACCATGGCTGCTTTCAACCTGAGCCAAACACATAGGTAGGAACACATGTTTGATAGCATAGAAAGAAGGCGAGTCCCCATGATGTGAGCAGATGTTTGTATACACACACACACACACACACACACACACACACACACACACACACACACACACACACACACACACACACATTCTCTCTCTTATTTTACGTCGCTTTGGATAAAAGCATCAGCATAATAATGTAATATAATACAGACAAACATATACACATACAAACAGACGCACACACACACATACACACACACACACACACACACACACACACACTCTAAAAGCATCATCATAATGTAATATAATACAGACAAACATATACACATACAAACAGACGCACACACACACACACACACACACACACACACACACACACACAGACACACACACACACACACACACACACAGACAACACAGACACACAACACACACAACACACACACACACACACACACACACACACACACACACCACACAGACACACACACATGAATAAAGTGTGATGTTTTGCCAATGACGTTCTGAATGCTCTTTGAGTTTTAATGACCTGAAAACATGACGATATCTTTTGGATTCAGTTTACACATGATACAGACTTTATTGAAAAACAAAACTAACAATGTTTCACAAAAGCTTTCTTGATATAAAAAGACTATGTACAAAGTGCTGTTCATCTGGTTTACAAAATACAGTAAAGAAAACAATAACGTAAAATAAGACGGTTGAACCGATAAGTTATCCCAGAAACCCAGAAAGAGCATAAACACTCATTTGAAGGTTGGTTTACTTTCAGAGCTGATTCAACAAACACTTCTTCCTCCTGCATTCAGCTGCTTTGTTTAGTCTTGAGGAAACACAAGAAGACAATGCCACATTTCCTCCTGGTCGCCGCCTCGCTTTCCGAGACAAAAGAGAAGCCAAGTTTATAACGTCCTGAGAGGATCGAGGGTACAAGAAAACCAGACGCCTTTGTAGACTTTCAGATTCGCCCTTATTGCTGATTTATTTTGTGATTGAAGTTCCTGCCTTCACTTCCTGTTCATCGCCTGGCTTGTCTTTCAGAGTCTTTTCTGACATGTTAACTTTCTTTTTAGTACAGTCTTTGTTGACCTTCTATCAACCTTCATTTCTGTCATTTTAAGCTGATGGGATCAAACTGTGGGAGGCAACAAGTACTGTAGCACGATTTAAACAAAGACCTGTCATCTTCAACATATCTTCCCAAACATGTTGATCTGAAGATGGTGATCCTAAGCAATATATCGGAGGAAAAACAACAAAAAATGCCACGTTTCCTCCTGGTCTCGGGCTCGCTTTCTGACGGCCAAAACACAAAAGAGTAGCCCAGTTTAAAACGTCCTGAGAGGATCGAGGGTGAAAGAAAACCAGGCGCCTTTTTTTACCATTATGGTTCATTTCTAATGTGATTGAAGTTCCTGCCTTCCCTTCCTGTTCATCGCCTGGCTTGTCTTTCAGAGTCATTTCTGACATGTTAACTTTCTTTTTAGTACAGTCTTTGTTGACCTTCTATCAACCTTCATTTCTGTCATTTAAAACTGATAGGATCAACACATTGGGAGGTTGCAAGTACTCTAGCACGATTCAAACAAAGACCTGTAATCTTCAACATATATCCCAACCCAGTCTCACGGCATTTCGTGTATTAGTCACGAAATACATTGAATCTATTGATTCGTGTTCACCAACACGATTTTCCCCTTTTTTTCGTGTCACACAGAACGATTTTAAAAGCAATGTATTTCTATTGGTAGTATGTTTCGTGCCTGCAACACGTCTTTTTGTCCGGTCGGGTCTTGGAAGACCAGAAGCTGTGTGGTTCATAAAAATATGTTCTTACTCAATATCTTACCCTAAGCCTAACCCTATCCCTTTTATTTTAAATTGTATAATGTCTGAGTTTTGTTGCCGTCAGTGAGGAAAAGAAATGTCTCAGAGCCTCAGAATACTGACATCTGTATTTTATGTCATCTCTTTTTCCTTCTAATTTGTTATTATTTGGTGCAGGCACGAAACATACTACCAATATAAATACATTGCTTCTAAAATCGTTCTGTGTCAGAATACTGAAATCTGTATTTTTTTAAATGTCTTTTTCCTTCTAATTTGTTATTATTTACATTGCTTTTTAAATCGTTCTGTGTGACACGAAAAAAATGGCGAAATCGTGTTGGTGAACACGAATCAATAGATTAATTTTGGGACTATAACACGAAATGCCGTGAGACTGTGTTGTATCTTCCCTCATACATTGATCTGAAGATGGTGATCCTAAGCTAAATATCTCAGCGTTTTAAAGACAAAGCCACATTTCCTCCTGGCTCACTTTCTGACGGCCATAACACAAAAGAGTTTATAACGTCCTGAGAGGATCAAAGGTACAAGAAAACCAGACGCCTTTTTTACCCTTATGGTTAATTTCTAATGTGCTTGAAGTTCCCGCCTTCACTTCCTGTTTTCCCATCGCCTTTTCCTTTTCCTTGTCGTTCCCACTTTCTCTTTTAGTCTTTGTTCCCTTTCCATCACACTTGATTCCTGTCATCTAAAGCTGATTGATTCCAGATGTACTGACGGTTAAAAGTACTGTTATACTTAGGTCTGAAGATGGAGATCCAAGTATATTTAAGTAAGTATTTGTGCTCAAGGTTACAAGTACACTAGGCCCTTTTTGTTAACCTTCACATTGACCCTTTTTGTTATCTTTCACATTGACCCTTTTTGCTAATTTCTAATGTGATCTAAGTTCCTGAGTTCACTTCCTGTTTCCTTCACTATACAGCCTTTCTCTTTATAGTCCATCCTGTCATTTAGTCTTATTTAAAGCTGAATGAAGTGCCGGATGCTTCCTGATTCATTGATGGTAAAGCTCTACTTGCACTCTGAATGCATCTCCTTCATGAATGAATTAATGACTGATTGAACTCCAGCAGTATTATTTTAGAGATGTTATATGTGTAACTGCTATGCCTGCCATCTCTGCTCTGGGTCATTGTGTTGTCTCCTGGGTTCTGTGGTGCTCGGAGTATGTCTTTTTATTTTCTTCCTCCCAACCCCCATCCCCTCAGGAAGCCTTTTGCCTCCTGTCAGGTCATCATTGAAAATAAAAATGTGTTCTTAATTGATTTTCCTGGCTAAATAAAGGTTATACTACTACTACTACTACTACTACTACTACTACTACTACTACTACTACTACTACTACTACTACTACTACTGATAAGTTCTTAAAAGTTGTATAACCAGTGAATCTTACCAAGTGAATTTAGTTTTCATATTAATACGTTTGCATTAAAGGTGGGGTAGGTAAGTTTGAGAAACCGGCTCGAGATACACTTTTTGTTATATTCCATGGAATGCTCTTAACATCCAGATAGCAATGAATATCTTAAGTGCTTTGACAAAAAATACATAAAGAAATATCATCTGTGGAAGCTGTAGTACTGTAAACAGCACGACCAATCATCTGAGCCGGCCCGGCTAAAGTAACTGGATGTTCTACCTGCCTGTCAGCCTTCCATCTGTGCACAAACTTATCTGGTGCCCTCATTGGTCATGTGCGCGTTCGTGTGTGTTGGAGGAGGGGCTCTGTAAGGAAGTGGCAGATTTTTTCCGGTTGTGTATTTTCAAATTCTAGCGCACTCGAGCCGGTTTCTCAAAATTACCTACCCCACCTTTAAGTTGGTGATTTGATTTGTTGTTAATTTTAGACTTTTCAATGCATTTTGTATCTCTGTATAATAGCGCTTGCGAGAAAAGGCAATTTCAGTTTTGCGACAGAAGTGTTCAACGTGGCACTTCCTTTAAATGTAAGTTGTGATTCTACAAAAAATGATTCATCGTGGATTTATTTACAGTCATTCAAATCATATTTCAGATCAGGAGTCCAAGCTCCTTTTCTCTGGAACCTACTTGCTGTTTTCATCAGAGAGGCAGACAGTGTCCAAACTTTTAAGAGCGCGTTGAAGACCTACATTTTCAACAAAGCCTTCAGTTAGAGCTGGCATTTTATGGTATTCATTTGAATGTTTTATGTATTTCAGACACGCAACCTCAGACTCTCGTTCATTTCAGTTTTGCTACAGAAGTGTTGAACGTGACCCATCCTGAAGTTGTGATTCTACAAAAAATGATTCATCGTGGATTTATTTACAGTCATTCAAATCATATTGCATCACATAATGCCTCTGAAATCCTCCTCCTACCCAGAGTCTTTCCAGTGTTCAGTGAACGGACGTTACTGTTATTGGTAAAGTCCAGGCGGTGCAGTGTGGTCGGGCCTCTTCTCAGAGTTCCCAGAGTTCCCAGAGTGCTTTGGGGCGTTGGTAGCGTTGGTAGCGTTAGCATCGAGGCCCAGCGAGCGTCGGTACGCAGCGGAGAGACGGTACAGCACGTCGGGTCGAGGGCCGGGGTGAGAGTCTGCTTTCTGGGTCATCAGCATCTCAAACAGGGTGCTGACCTCAGAGAGCAGCGCCCCCCCCAGAGGACCCTCTTTCTCTGGAGTCTTACCTAAAGGACGGAGAGGAGGAGGGGAAATAATGTTCTTTAAAATGATAAAAAAATCATTGAATTCAGCTTCAAACATTTCCTTTCATCCAAGATGCAAAGGTTTCAATGTCCTATGCACATATACAGTGAATACATGGCAATGATCTACATTTGTGATCAATTAAGTGTATGTAATGTTATGATATCTTCCCAATTCAAATCTAATTGTATGGCGTTGTACAGTATGTTGTATAAACTGTATGTAGGCCTATAAATGTCTATCTATACTGTATGTCTGCGCCTTTATATTCAACTAAATGCATTATAGTGACTTTATGTGTGCTTTCGGTCTAAAGGTCAATAAGAATCAGATTTTGATCACAAAAAATGAAATAAAATCTAACATTTACTCTAGATTTCAGAGTTATTGTTTTTAAGTTTATGTTTTTACCGAATGTGGAGAAGGAGGAGGAGTCCAGGGTGTCCCGGGGGGGAAGCTCACTTTCAGGGGACGGTGGCCCGGTGGGGTCAAAGACGTTGTCGTGGTAATCACTGCTGAGCGGGAGAGAGAGGCGGGCCATCCAGGACGGATCGCTGACCTCCGAGAACACGTCGTCTGCAGAAAGAGAAAGAGATTCATTTTAAAGGTCACCTATTGTGCAAAATGCACTTTTTCATGTGTTTTAAGGCACGGACACACCAGGCCGATTATCGGCGTCGGTGGGCGTCACGCCCTACTCAGATTGGTGTGTCCCGCACCGTCGGGTCTTTTCAGCCGTGCCGACGCCTTTTGTTGAATCGGCGGGCAGTCGGCCAAAGGCCGTCGGCCAAAGAAATCACTCTGATTGGCTGCTCAGCTTAGCGAATCAGTGCATGAGAAGCGAAACGGAAGTGAGGGACCCAAACAAACGATTAAGAAGGCCAATCTGAGATTTCATTTAACTCCAGCTCTCGACACAGGTTGGGGAAAGCCCCGTGAGCTTCTGGCTGTAGAGTGAACATGGAACGCATGCTATGTGTTGTTTGTTTATATCACGCAGCCTGTTCTTCTTCTCTCGGTGTATCACGCAGTCTGTTCTTCTTCTCTCGGTGTATCACGCAGTCTGTCTTCTGGTTGTTGCCTCTTTTGAATGACGAATACACACTACCGCCGCCTGCTGGTAAGGAGAGTTATTGCCACTCACGCATGCGCAGTTCGTACGTGCTACTTGGCCGTCGGCTGAAGTCTTTGCGGTGTGTTCCAGTGCGACTGTTGGCCAAGACGCAGAGACGTGAGGCGACACAACAGTCGGGTCCGTCTGGACGTGTTCTTTGGTGTCAGTTTGGTGTGTCAGGGCCTTTATACATCAACATGTGTCCCCTCTTCTTCATGTCTCTTCTTCATCAACATGTGTCCCCTCTTCTTCATGTCTCTTCTTCATCAACATGTGTCCCCTCTTCTTCATGTCTCTTCTTCATCAACATGTGTCCCCTCTTCTTCATGTCTCTTCTTCATCAACATGTGTGCCCTCTTCTTCATGTCTCTTCTACATCAACATGTGTCCCCTCTTCTTCATGTCTCTTCTACATCAACATGTGTCCCCTCTTCTTCATGTCTCTTCTACATCAACATGTGTCCCCTCTTCTTCATGTCTCTTCTACATCAACATGTGTCCCCTCTTCTTCATGTCTCTTCTACATCAACATGTGTCCCCTCTTCTTCATGTCTCTTCTTCATCAACATGTGTCCCCTCTTCTTCATGTCTCTTCTTCATCAACATGTGTCCCCTCTTCTTCATGTCTCATCTTCATCAACATGTGTCCCCTCTTCTTCATGTCTCTTCTTCATCAACATGTGTCCCCTCTTCTTCATGTCTCTTCTTCATCAACATGTGTGCCCTCTTCTTCATGTCTCTTCTACATCAACATGTGTCCCCTCTTCTTCATGTCTCTTCTACATCAACATGTGTCCCCTCTTCTTCATGTCTCTTCTACATCAACATGTGTCCCCTCTTCTTCATGTCTCTTCTACATCAACATGTGTCCCCTCTTCTTCATGTCTCTTCTACATCAACATGTGTCCCCTCTTCTTCATGTCTCTTCTTCATCAACATGTGTCCCCTCTTCTTCATGTCTCTTCTTCATCAACATGTGTCCCCTCTTCTTCATGTCTCTTCTACATCAACATGTGTCCCCTCTTCTTCATGTCTCTTCTTCATCAACATGTGTCCCCCTCTTCTTCATGTCTCTTCTTCATCAACATGTGTCCCCTCTTCTTCATGTCTCTTCTTCATCAACATGTGTCCCCTCTTCTTCATGTCTCTTCTTCATCAACATGTGTCCCCTCTTCTTCATGTCTCTTCTTCATCAACATGTGTGCCCTCTTCTTCATGTCTCTTCTACATCAACATGTGTCCCCTCTTCTTCATGTCTCTTCTACATCAACATGTGTCCCCTCTTCTTCATGTCTCTTCTACATCAACATGTGTCCCCTCTTCTTCATGTCTCTTCTACATCAACATGTGTCCCCTCTTCTTCATGTCTCTTCTACATCAACATGTGTCCCCTCTTCTTCATGTCTCTTCTACATCAACATGTGTCCCCTCTTCTTCATGTCTCTTCTACATCAACATGTGTCCCCTCTTCTTCATGTCTCTTCTTCATCAACATGTGTCCCCTCTTCTTCATGTCTCTTCTTCATCAACATGTGTCCCCTCTTCTTCATGTCTCTTCTTCATCAACATGTGTCCCCTCTTCTTCATGTCTCTTCTTCATCAACATGTGTCCCCTCTTCTTCATGTCTCTTCTTCATCAACATGTGTGCCCTCTTCTTCATGTCTCTTCTACAACAACATGTGTCCCCTCTTCTTCATGTCTCTTCTTCATCAACATGTGTCCCCCTCTTCTTCATGTCTCTTCTTCATCAACATGTGTCCCCTCTTCTTCATGTCTCTTCTTCATCAACATGTGTGCCCTCTTCTTCATGTCTCTTCTACAACAACATGTGTCCCCTCTTCTTCATGTCTCTTCTTCATCAACATGTGTCCCCTCTTCTTCATGTCTCTTCTTCATCAACATGTGTCCCCTCTTCTTCATGTCTCTTCTTCATCAACATGTGTCCCCTCTTCTTCATGTCTCTTCTTCATCAACATGTGTCCCCTCTTCTTCATGTCTCTTCTTCATCAACATGTGTCCCCTCTTCTTCATGTCTCTTCTTCATCAACATGTGTCCCCTCTGTGGAAAGAGACTCTGAAAGTTTCAGGAACAAAGATTCTCTCTCTTTTTGATCCATTTTTATAAAAACCTATCTGAAAATGAACTGATCAGATTTTGCCCACTTTATGATGTCATAACGATGTTTTGTCTTGTGTAACCATCAGCCAATCAGCAACCAAGGTAACCCCCCCCCCCCCCCCCCCCCCCCTTATCACCTGAATCTCCTCCTAGAGCACCATTGAGTTCTTTGTAACCAAATGTCTCTCAGAGGGGCGTGGGGAGGGGCTCCTTATTTTCATCTAAAGTAACAGACAGAGAATCAGCACTTTGGAAACAGGGTGTTTTGGGTTGACACTGTATAATGGGGTAGTAGGCTGTGGTGCAGTAGATAGTGCGTTGGTGTTCAGATCAGGGGAGCACAGGTTCAAACCCCACTGCAGTCAGCATGTCGTTGTGTCCCTGAGACACTTCACCCCAAAGTGCTCCTATGGGGATTGTCCACAGTATTGAGTATGTAAGTCGCTTTGGATAAAAGCGTCTAACAAGTGACATGTACTGTAATGTAATGTAATGTAGGGAAAGTACAAGATATCAAACAATTGGTATCAAAACTAGTCCAGTACTTCAGTAAATGTTACTTAGAGTCTAAAGTAACATTTAATGAAGTACTGGACTAGTCTTCAGTTAATCCACAGACACGGTTATAACTCCATATTCTAAGCAGTCTAAAGTTTAGACTGCTTAGAATATGGAGTTATAACCGTGTCTGTGGATGAACTGAAGCATCCTCCCCTTGTTTCTCTCTCACTGCTGGAGGAGAAGGAGGCAGGAAGGGAAGAAGGAAAGGAAGCGACAAAGTGTTTTATCTGTCAACAGGATCATCCTCCGCAGCGTCCTTCGCTCTGAAAGAATTCGGCTAAACATCACGTCCTTAGCGCCATCAAATACCTCTATTACAGTGTCTGTGAGAGGAGTAAACATCGGGTGTGTCTGTCGCACAAACCAAAGATTATACGTCTCATTTCATTTATTTATTTTCTGTAAAACATGCTGGGAAAAAGTGAAAGGAAGCAGTTTAGTGTCTCTGATCCTCATCACTTCCTGTTGACGTGCTGTGGTCGTGTTATCTGCTCGCACAACAACATCCGTCTAAGAGCTATTTTTAAGATTCATCTGATCTGATCTGAAACAATGGAGATCTGTCAGCACGTCGCTGGCAGACCTTCATGAGGACGGTTATTGACGTAAGTCGAGACAACAGCTTCATGAACAGACGCTCAGACGCCAGCTCACATTGACATCAACAACACTTTATACTTTTCTTATTATATGAAACACATAACAAACTATGTTTAGTACTTAACAAGCTCTGTCTGCATACATGGAGACAGACTGAGGAACAAATGCATTTATGTTTGGATCAGCTGGTGAGTTTTGAAGTCATTAAAAAAGGTCTTTGGGTTTATCAATTCACTTTCCTCTTCTATTTGTACCTTAAATATTGTATTACTTTATAGTTTTGGCGAAATTAACAATATTTGTGATTGCTCACCTCAGATATATTTTCTAAATATTGTAATGAGTGCATTCTAATCAAACATAGATAGTAGTTATATGATATTTCATTTATTAGTTACTTCAAATGTGTTTAAAATGCTGTAAATAGATACGATTATTATTGGACCAGTGGTTATTTTTTAACTTTTTGTATTTTTTTTCAAAGCAACCACACCTTGCTAAAGAGTGCCCATGCTATCCTTAGCAACAGTATGTTATCCTTAGCAACGGTCTGCTATTAAAAAAGCCCAGAATGCAGAATTTTCCAATCGACCAATCGCAGCATCGAGTATTCAGCTTAGTCTTGTAATACATTTCTGATATACAAGGTGGTAAGATTCGCTGAATCAACGCAAACAATAACACTACTATTAGATAATTCTCAATGCAAAACATTTTTACTTGATGTTGAAAAGGTAGAGATGTAAGTAAGCGGTGATTAATTCTAATCAGATGAATGAAGCGGAGTAAAAACGTTAAACTAGCTGAGACTGATCAGCCTGCTGCGGTCCCCTTCATCTAACCACAACCAGATGAGGGGAATAAACTCTCCTCTCCACATCACACACACACACACACACACACACACACACACACTACACACACACACACACTACACCCCACACACACACACACCACACACACACACACAAACACACTACACCACACACACACACACACACACACACACACAACACACACACACACACACACACACACACACACACACACACACACACACACACAACACACACACACACACACACTACACACACACACACACACACACACACACACACACACACACACACACACACACACACACACACACACACACACACACACACACACACACACACACACACACACACACACACACACACCTGGGATAACACACACACACACACACACACACACACACACACACACACACACACACACACACACACACACACACACACACACACACACACACACACACACACCGGTGGCACAGACCGCCCTCTGAGTTAACCCTCCTCCTCTTTCCTCCTTTTGTCCGTGCAGGATTTTACCAAACATGAAATTCTCTCTCAGTTACAAACGCATCCAGTTTCAGATCCTCAGAGATTAAACACTGAACTGTTTAACCTGTAAACTAAACCCTCCTCCTTAAATCTTTGGTGCATAAATTCACAGTGTGCATCACTGAAAGACAGAAAGACAGATATGCGATGTCAGTGTCCTGTCAGTGATACGTTCTGTGCTACCTTCATCTAATATCCAGAGATTTCAGCCTTAAATGTTACTTCGATTTGCACGGAAAATCATCCAGTTCTACTGTATTACAAATATAAATACAGAAGACTTCCTCTTATTGTAAACAATCCCATTTAAGTATTGATTGATCAATTGTTTTCATTAAATCAGCTTTAATCGATATATCTCTTCAGTGTGTTCAAACTGTTTTTGACATCAGTTAAAATTTGTTTTTTAACGTCAAAAAAGGTCGATTGAAGCAAATTTGGTTGGATAAAGACATGTTGTAAACTTGGAACTAATAATGATATCTTAATTCAACAAATTTGCTTAATTTTGGTTATTTTAATTTGTTTTAATTAAAGCTACTCTGATCACACACTTCAGAAATACTCGTCCATCCCCTCCACTGGTATCTAACTCTTAAAATACTACAGTCCTATTGATAGTCGTGTAACCAAATCTTCATCTGCAACTGTGCACAAATACAGGCTTCAAACTCAACAAATACACATGCAAAACAAGAACACACACACACACACACACACACACACACACACACACACACACACACACACACACACACACACACACACACACACACACACACACTAACCTGAACCTGAGGGGTTTTGTCTATTTGACATCAAAGTAAAAACAAAATCACATGCAAAGGGAGCTGTGAAAATGTAGTTCACATGACACCATCCTAAACGTAACAATAGCAATGATAGGCACGACCCGAGTTCTCACATCTGAGACAAAAACACACACACACGCACACACACACACACACACACACACACACACACACACACACACACACATCACACACACACACACACACACACACACACCACACACACACAACACACACACACACACACACACCACACACACACACACACACACACACACACACACACACACACACACACACACACACACACACACACACACACACACACACACACACACACACACACACACACACACACACACACACACACACACACACACACACACACCACACACACACACACACACACACACACACACACACACACACACACACACACACACACACACACACACACACACACACACACACACACACACACACAGTCACACTCAACACCTGTAATATCATCTTCAGACAAAGAGACCGGTTTATCTTGGTGTGATTCATCACAGCAGTCCTTCAAAAAGTAGTTACAGGACACACATGTAGTAGAGAGGAATGTGTTAAAGCTTTGACGGCTTCATCAAACACACACACACACACACACACACACACACACACACACACACACACACACACACACACACACACACTGTCAAAGGTCTCTGGTGTGAGTTACACTGATAGCACAGCCTGCAGCGTGGAGGTGAGTCAAGCATCACACACATAACACACACACACACTCCCACGCACACACACACACACACACACACACACACACACACACACACACACACACACACACACACACACACACACACACACACACACACACACACACACACACACACACACACACACCACACACACACACACACACACACACACACACACACACACACACACACACACACACACACACACACACACACACACACACACACACACACACACACACACACACTCCCACACACTCTTTATGTGTGTCTCTCTCTTTCTCCTGCCATAAAGTGCAGCTCGCTCCATCATCAGCCGGTAAACCCCTCCACTCGCCCCCCGGGCTCAGAACTCTACAATAGCAGGAAGAAACTGTTTGACACTCACTCAGACACACACACACACACACACACACACACACACACACACACACACACACACACACACACACACACACACACACACACACACACACACACACCACACACACACACACACACACACACACACACACACACACACACACACACACACACACACACACACACACACCACACACACACACACACACACCACACACACCACACACACACACACACACACACACACACACACACACACACACACACACACACACACACACACACACACACACACACACACACACACACACACACACACACACACACACCACACACACACCACACACACACACACACACATAAGACCATGCCCATTATCTTGGACCAGTATACATTACTACTATGAATACTGGTGTGACTGGTACCTCACACCATGACTTTAAATGGCACCAAATAAGGGCAAGGCTACAGCCCCGGAAGAAAAATAATAACGAATGACTCGTTTATTTTACAATGGATTACATTTAGTTGACACTTTTATCCAAAGTGAATTACAATAAGTGCAATCAACCACTAAGATAGCTTTCATTATTACACGGCTTGGTCGAATACTAGATTCTGATTGGTCAATTAAGACATTCCGGAGGTCTGTTCATTTCCGCTAACAGACCGTTGCTAAGGAGAACAGACCGTTGCTAAGGAGGATCAAGGGACTATACTAGAAGTCTGGTCTATTTAACGTTGGCTGTGGACAACAACAAATAGTTTTCGTCCATCAGAAAACACAGGGGACTACTTTTCTGATATTTATTTGTATGTATGTGGAGATTAGGAAATGAAGTGGAACGTACTTTTTTCTAGACTTTCTTTTTAGCTTAAGACTGTAAGCGGGAAAAACCCCTCGATCAGGATCCCGTTGCAAAGCTCTGTTGATGTCCTGTTTTTATCAATGACTGCCTCGCTGCACATTACTTCTTACATGAACCACTGTACCCTCCTTCCCTCAGCTTTAAACAAACCAGAGCACGTTTAGTATCAACATGATGAGTAGAAGAACAACAGCAGATGAGTGTGTGGGTGGATGTGGATGTGGAAGTAAAACCTGCCTCTGTGTTATTTCCTGCTGTCTTCCTGTTTTCTACATGTGTCAGTGTGAGTCCATTGTAAAGTGACCAGAGTGTGTTTTCTGCAGGGGTCAAAGGTCAGCTGCTTTTGTCCTGAAGAATCAAAGCTGGGAAGATAAACTCAGTGACACCAGCTCAGTTTACAGAGTCAGACAATAGAGTTTACTTATCGCTTATTACTTGTCGCTGGCAAGAGGGCTACAACTACAACAAGATGGAC